CTATGAGAGCGTGGTCCTTCCCTGGTCGAGCCGACTCATTCGTGCTACAACTATACCACAAATATAGCTGCAGCATGGCTCTACCACGCGCAGAAATGAAAAATGAATTTTGAGTGATTAGCCATCACAAAATCTATCTCCTGATGATACTATATTAAGGCGCGTCTGCACCAAAAATGTTGACAACATTTATGTTTTCAACTGTTGAAAAATCAACAAAAGTTGACGACATTTGTTTCAAACTGTTGCAAGAAGCGTCTCCACCGAGGGAACAAATGTCGGCAACAAGCGTATTCCTTTGATGTTGGCGCCGAAAATGGAAACACGATTCCCGACATTGTTTCGTTTTGTTGCTAAAACTAGGTGATTACAGAAACATTTGTCGGCAACAAGTGTTGACAAATGTTGTGTTGACAACAAAACTTTGGTGGAGACGCGCCATTAGAAGCGAAACACATGCTACCATATCGAAAATAGTGTGTTTTTTAGTGCAGAGGTTATAACAGGTGCCCGCATCACACAATTTTATTCATGTGAAATTTATTTCTACGTTCATCGTAATTTCTTTAAATACATAAATTTGCTTAATTTATTTTCATGTTTTCACTGCTTTGTAATTTACCGTGTACGACCTTCTAATAACAACTAAGAAATTGAAAAAACTGTGACCGCTCAACTGACAATGGCAATATCCCCTCTATGAAGCAATCTATGGGGAAAGCCTATGTTCAGCCGTGCACTTTTGGCTGTAACCTGTAACGGTAAGCGCTTTGTAATTATTATATTCAAAAACGAAAGCTTAAATTCTGATAAATGTTAAAATAAAATGTAATTGTCCTAAATACGATAACCAATTAAAAATCGTTTATTACAAGTTCAAATTTATATTTAATTAATTATTACTTATCAGTAAATTAGAAACCCCATTAAGGCCTTATTTATAGAGGAACGTTTGAAAATGGAAATCATTGTTAAACCAAAATCCAAGATGGCGTCTAAGCTACTGTTTTACCGTTTTCTTTTGATATTTTATTTGATAACGTTGGTATACGGTAACGGTGACCTGTCAGTTGGCCATACTCACGGTACGAATCTCATACACAAAAAAATATATGAAAAAAATGGATCTCCTCTTCAAAAGAACATAGAGGAGATTGATATTAAGGCACCGGATGAACAGAAAATAAGAGCGGTTGTCGTACAAGATTTAAACGGAAACGGTGAAAGTTACATCAAGAAAGGTGATGTTGGTAAGAAGAAAGTGACGTTGAAACTAAAAAGTCCCAGAGGTGAAGGATTTAAATTTTCTGTTGCCATTTACGCATCTTAAAAAATATTAAACGTTTTATTTCTCTTCCTTGCTTCATTGTATGATACTAATTTTTACGGTCAACAGCTTAATATTGGTCTTCAATTCATTAAAACATAGGCCTTAGCAGTGAACTATAGCTATAGCACCAATCGAAATAGATCTTACAGTTATGCTGATCTTTCTAGACCTGCATAGCTGCTTGCACGAATAAAAAAATACAATATCGCGTAGGGAGGATGTTTGCCATGGTAACCACGTTTGGCAGACGGGTTGGCAACTGTAGTTTTTTTTATTAGCACTAAGTAGGTATTCCTAACAACTGGAAGATGATGCTGTTACTGTTTTAATATTCTTCTGTTGTCTATTTATCGAACGAATCGAAGTCCACAGGATAACATGCGGTAGTGAGTTATCGTACGCCGCCACTTCATGGTATGAAATTATTAATTGCAATTTAAGTGTCGATTTACCACATGCTCCTCGGTGAAGGGAAAGAAGCTAGTGGCTAAAGATCATCTCATTTAAGTATTTTGCACCTGGCAACACTTTTCTTTAACACCCAGGATTGACTGGCAGAGAATGTAACATGGATTTAAGACCGCTCTATATATATAAGGTGTTAAGTTTAAAGAGAATGAAATAAAATAAATACAATGAAAACGAACGTCAGACGTCAAAGAGAAGCGAAACACGATTGCAACCCAGAATTGTTATCATCAAATCAACATTAACTGACAAACATTTGCTCAAAGCTCAACTCAAACAGTCTAGCGTCAGCAGTCATGTTACATTACCTAATTAATTGTCAACATGCAACGTACAAATCAATCTTTATTATATGAAACGTAGAATCTAAAATAGCTTGTCGATGCTTTAAATAGATGGTGCGGCGATAACAGTGACCTCTGCCCTCTCCCATCGATACACTGATACGTCATATCTGCCTGGCTTACATGGCGGTTGCCGAGATTAATTTAAAATGTGTTTTATTATAATCCTTTCACAGATAATAGGATAGTATACAGTACACATGAGGGCATGGAAATACATGTACTTCGTACAAACGGAGTATTGTGTAATATGATCTGCATAGTAGACAGTTTTAAATGTCATTTAAAAGTTATTTTAGGGTTTTTTTTATAGAATTATGGTGTCAAACGAGCACACAGTCCACCTGATGGTAAGTTGATGGTAAGTGGTTGTTGTGGCCCATAGACATCTAAATCTATCTTCGTTTGCGAATTAAAATGCAGATGCGTTATCAGCCATGAGGACTAAGATAGAATGCCTCTTTTTCAGTAAAATGGGTCTCCGGTTCTCTACACTCACCATACGAAACACAGCAGCATTTACGCTGGTATTCATTGAGAGCGTGGTCTTTCCCCGGTCGAGCCGACCCATTCGTACTACAACTTTACTATTAATATAGCTGCAGCATGGCTCTACCACGTAAACACGTTGTTTACGAGCTACACTGCAGCATATTATGGACCACGTTCGTACATAATACCAGCATGCAATAGCAGTATAAAATATTACTGCTGTATTCTTTTTGATGGTAGGAGAGACCGAGAATGATTGGCTAAAGGGGCAGGTTGATTTACTGTCAAAAACTCGACCTACGCAAAAGTGTTGCCTCATCCAACTAAGCCTTTTTTTACTGGAAAAGACGTATTCCATCTTAGTCCTCAGGGGTGAGAACGCATCTGCATTTTGATTCTTTATTGAGGATAGATGTAGATGTCTATGGGTCACAACAACCACTTACCATCAGGTGGACTGTGTGCTCGTTTGTCACCCTATCCTATAAAAAAAAGCGCGAGAAACCGTTTCCTACCCCCGCTAGGTACCGGGCAAAGAGTATAGATACGCACGTCGTTTGGGAGAAGGAGCTTAATATCCAAAATCAAACCATGTAAGTAATTATTTTCCTTCTAATATATTTTATAGTAAGTACCTAAAGACCCATTCAAATCATTTCGATGAAGTAATAAATGCTTAGTGAATTAGGTTCTAAATAATAGTATTCTTAACTTACAAACATTTGCCGTGTATGGGCGGAACATAGGCTTCTCCCAATGAATGCCACAAATCTCGGCCGTGAGCCTTCTGTATCCATCGACTTCCTGCTACGCTTATCAGGTTGTTAATCCATCTAGTGGGGAGACGCCCCCCAATTTGCTTACCGATAAGCTAGTGCTGTAACGAAGCTGCCAATCGAGAATCTTTCTTCACAATGGGTTGTCGCTTCGAGCTATGTGGCTATATCTTGATAACTCAATAGTAAAACAACTGCGGTTGCGTCGAAAGTTTGACAACTGACAAACATGACAAATACAGGTGAAGCCTATGTTAATAAATTATATATACATTAATTTATTTAATCCACTTTTAAATTGTTCATTTATTTTAATTATTGTAAACGTACTTTTATAAAAAACAACCCGTCAGGATATGGGAGTGGAAAATAAAAATGATTGTATAAATTATCTTGATAATAGCTTGGTCAAAGCGTCAATGAAAGAACGGATAGGTTTAAATTTGGACTTCCATTTGATACGATCCTAACTCACAACTCTCACTACTACTACTACCTTCACATCCATATATCGCATACATCGTTTGTTGTGGAATACTTTTAGATTTGCTCATCAATTATCGTAAATATATGCCCAAATACTCAAACGCCGCTCAATTTTAAAAGACCGTGCCTCGTGCTATCTCTATCACTTTAAGTCAAAGTGACTGTGACACCACGAGTCTTACGACATCTTAAAATTGAGTAGGGTCTGAGTATTTGACTACGCCCCCTTTTCCCTAAAGAGGGTCGCTTCCGATTCAGCAGAAAGGCTACAAAAGCCAATGCCAGTCTCACAGGTCGTGTTTAGTGGGTAGGCACTTAGGTTAGGTTAGTCGCAGTGAGTCCCACATAACTCTGCTCTAAGCATACCACGACAGCCGGCTGTCGTGGTATGCTTAGATCATTCACCACCTCCCTTCCTCGCTTTCCGGAGGGTTACCCTTTCCATTGCATCTTGGCGCAAAAAAAATGTATTTGGCCATTAGTCGATAAACTTCCGTCTACGTCATCCATTGCCGACTCTGCCATTCACTACTGCATAATATATTTGCTTTGTAAGTAACAAAGCATATGTATGTTCTAAATAATGTTTCCACATTTATTCTTTTTACGTGACCAGACCACAAAGTTATATGTAATTTTAAACAGTGCTTGATCATTTATTAGCACTATGAATTAATCGTTACAAAAGTAAAGTTACAGCCTATATACGCCCCATTGCTGGGCACAAGCCTCCTCTCACTTCTGAGAGGGGTTTGGGTTAAAGATGTGTCCACCGCGCTGCCCCAATGCGAAGTCCGCCAGTTCACATGTTTTCGAAACATTTTTTATTTTTTATTTCTCAGACTTGCTTGGGTTTCCTCAAGATGTTTTACTTTACCGCCGAGCACGTGGTAAATCAGCACTTCAAATTGCAATTAACAATTTAATTGTTAGTAAAATAATCGATAAATATTATATTCATAAATGGAAAACAAAAGAAATATTCCATGTAAAACATTAACTAATCGACGATGTATTCTATTCTATGAATCAAGTCAATCGAGATCGTGTCACTTGACCTCCTGGCTCGGCCTCACTCGAGATTGTTTTTGAACAACACAAATCAGTCTTTAGTACGCGTTGGAACTAACACACGCTTCAGCAAATACCACAATGGATTACAAGATTTTATTAGCACTTTGTGCGATACTGACTATTGTAAATTGCAAAAGTGTGATAGTTGGACAAATATATGATCATAGCGGGATTGTTAGAAAGGTGTACGATCAAATCATAGAATTGTCCGGCATTCCATTCATAAAGAGAGAGCAAGAAATAAACTTTGAGTATCCAGTAGGAGATCAAAGGATAAAAGGTATTGCGATAAAAGATTTGGAAAATGGTCTCGCCGAACCTTCTATAACAAGAGGTGGTCTGGGATTCAATTTTGTCAACATCAAATTGAAAAGCGAACGAGGCTCTGGATACAAGTTTTTAATAGAAATTTATGCGTAAAGACTTAGAGTATATAATTACAGTAGTACTGTAATTGCTTTAAGTGTAAAAATGTGACTAGTGTGTTGTATTATTGTACTTGAGATAAGGAAGGTATGTGTGTTGGACCTTGTTTTTTATACTTTCGTGGCTCAAGCGATATGTAATTTTAATGCAAAAAGTAAAAAATTTTCAATGTGAATATTTCAAAAGTATACTCAGTGATAAATATAGCAAAATTAGTTTTTTAGTTATATTTTAAGGCTGTTTAATATATTATATTATGTTCTTTGGTAATGTATAATTCGACAATTTATTCAATAATATTTGCGTTTGAAATATAGATAAAACTTGAATATTAAATCTTTATAACCGATGTAGGATTTACATTGTATACATTTTTATTGAAAAATTAAACCGACATTAAATAAATAATTGATTAATTTTCAAACAAATCATGTTAGTAATTTATTACAGTAACGAATGTTTTGTACGACTTTTTTATAATAATTATAATTAATTTGTATTTCATATAAATATACAATTTGATAAAATACTCAATAAATACAACTTTTTATCGGCATAGTGTGCTTTCTTTCTAACCACATTATTTTATTTTTTATACTTTGACATATTATAATATTTGCGTTAAGTGACGTCGTCACTTAACGCAAATATTATAATATAAAAGAAGAAAGATAAAAGAAAATATAAAAGAAGTTACACTACCTATTTACATATTACATTATCGCCAGTGTCGTAAGAAGCGATGTCGAACGAGGTGACCTCTAGTATATATACAGTAATCTATGGAGGTGACGATGGCGATGTGTATTTTTTTTATAGGAGTTTATGGCCTGGTATCTAGACCTTTAGGCCAAGATGGCGATATGAATGTGCACCCAGTGTTACCAACTTTTTGTTAGATCTCCCAACTATTAGTAGCTAACTCCTATCTACCACCTTGCAAAAAAAATCTAAGTACCAACTTTTCGAATTTTTGAAAAATTTTGGTTCTATATTCGCAAAATGATAATGCCTTCAATTTTTTTCATCAGTCTATCAACGAGTTCTTTAAATATAATAAAGAATAGTGAATGGACATTATTTAATGCTCTGACCAAAGAGAATATAATCACTACGTTTAAGAGGCGGGACTTCCTTACGCAACTCTAAACTACTTTTATTTTTTATTTATTGTATAGAAAATAAACTCGGAAATAATATTTACCTCGGAGATAAATTTCGGGTTGGTAACACTGCGTGAACCTCAAGTTATTGTGTCTGCTTAGACACCTAGAGATTCCGACAAAATCTCCTATAACATTCGAAATGTAATGCATCAACAAATAATAAAGTAAATAATTTTTTAAACAAATGAATTTAATTTCAAAGTAGGTACAACCATACCAGTCCGTTGAAAGAGAAAAAAAACTTTCAGCTGTTTTAACATTTAGTAACACACGCTGAATGCAGTGTTACACTGCGTTTTTGAGGACACGACTACATTGTGTAGAACCCTAGGCAGAAAATAAGTCTTACTTTCTGCCTAGGGTTTTAAAATCTCCTATAACATTCGACATGTAATGCATCAACATATTGTAAATAATTTTTTAAACAAATGAATTTAATTTCAAAGTAGGTACAACCATACCAGTCCGTTGAAAGGGAAAAAAAAACTTTCAATTGTTTTAACATTTAGTAACACACGCTGAACGCAGTATTACACTGCGTTTTTGAGGACACGACTACATTGTGTAGAACCCTAGGCAGAAAATAAGTCTTACCATCAAGTAGACCTCCAGCTCTTAACAAAAAGGGCCACAAAAGTACTGTCACCCCGCGGACCAAGATAAGATGCATCACAGCCTATTAATATACAGTGGTTGCACTGATGTTGGACATACAAAAGACCTTCTTAAGCCCGTAAAAATCCACTGCTGCTGAACTTGAGTCCCTTCTATTGCAGGATGATCGCAGTATCTTTGATTCTGTTCCCGTCACCGATTTAAGTATTTGAAGTGCAGCGTTACATCATCATCATCATTACAGCCCTTCACAAGTCCACTGCTGAACATAGGCCTCCCCCAAGGAATGCCACAAAATACGGCCCTGTGCCACCTGTATCTCGTTAACGCAGCGTTAACGACATGGTTATTCCCAGGGCCTGATTTAACTAACGTTTTTGAGCCCTAGATTTTTATAGCTAATAGCGCCTTAGTTTTTCATTTTATATTGTTTTTTTTTTATTTTGAAGTAATATTGTTACAATTTTTAAGGGATACTTTAGTGGCTGATATAGTGTTCCCTTGACTTTTTAATGGTGAAATTTCTGATAATATGGTCAAAATTGATTTCACGTAGGAAATCACTTTAAATGCAAAGTAGTGATAATGCATTTAATCTTTCCTGCTTCGTCATGGTGCGACAAGAATTTTTTAATCTCTTTAGTAGTGAGAATGATCTTTCTGTCGAACAATTTGTAAGCTTTTTTTCCTTATCTATCTATACAAATAAATAAAATCGAAGTGTCTGCTTGTAATATCAAAATAACAGCTTTTTACAATTTTTAAATTTTTTGTCTGTCTGTCTGTTTGTTCCGGCTAATCTCCGAAACGGCTGGACCGATTTTGACGGGACTTTCACTGGCAGATAGCTGATTTCATAAGGAGTAATTTAGGCTACTTTTATTTTAGAAAACGTATTAGGGTTCCGCGCAGTAACATAAAAACCCTAACACGCGATCGAAGTTGCGGGGAACAGCTAGTTAGTATATAAAAATTTTAATATAAACATAAACGTCGCATACTCGATGATGTCATGTGTTTGAATAACCTTACACTGTAGCATTTTTCCTCTTTCCTCTTAAATGTACTTGTTGAATAAGTGGGCAATGAATTAAGTGAGTCACGGACCAAATAGAACGCGTGGAAAAATTGCACAAGCAGCAAGCTAGGGTTCCCAACACCACTGTATTACTATTAAATTAAATTATGTACTTTTACAAATCATATACAAAAACTATCATTTTAAGTTTTTGTAGTTGGCTTTTGAGACCGAAATGCTTGTTTTTATAGAAAAAAACAAACGAGCACACAGTCCAACTGATGGTATGGGAAAGCTGTGGCCCATAGACATCAATATATTTTTTTTATTGAATAAGGGTGACGAACGAGCACACAGTCCACCCGATGGCAAGTGGCCGCCGTGGCCCATAGACATCTACATCTATCTTCGTTTGCGAATTAAAATGCAGATGCGTTGTCAGCCATGAGGACTAAGATAGAATGCCTCTTTTCCAGTAAAAAGGGTCTCCGGTTCTCTACACTCACCATACGAAACACCGTAGCATTAAACTGCTTTTTACGCTGGTATTCTGTGAGAGCGTGGTCCTTCCCCGGTCGAGCCGACCGATTCGTGCGACAACTATACTTTAATATAGCTGCAGCACGGCTCTACCACGTACAAAATATCTGCCCCCATTAAGAATCAAATTGTAGAATGCGTTTTGACCCTTAACAACTTAGGTGCAATGCCTCGTTTCCAGTAAAAAGGGTCTTCGGTTCCATTCCAGTTCACTTCTGTCAGTGCTCTCTATCTGTTCGTGAAGTAACATTACAATTCAGTCAATTTGAAGAGTAGCCCGTACAGACAGACAAAAATTTAAAAATTAGTTATTTATGTCTTAATGACATGCAAATAACGCCCTCAGGTTGTTATAAGAAAGTTTTTTTTTCTTCTTAAAAAACGTCACCCCCACACTAGGATTTTCTCCTGTATCGTGGAGGCAGTTTACAAACACAAATTGCACAAGGACAAACATCCAGACCCGGAACAATTATTTGTAGGCCATACAAATACTTGTTCCGTGCGGGATTCGAACCTGCGCCCCTCAGCGCAAGCAACTCATTCCTAAGCCACTGCGCCGCGGAGCCAAATTGTTCAATATTACAGACAGACACTTCCATTTTTTTATATGTATAGATATAAAACTAAAATACCAAATTACAGTCCACCTGAACGGCTAGCATAGGCAGGAGATAATTTTATCCTCGGGATATAATCGCTCGCCTCGCTGGATATAATATCCACAGTAGATAAAATGGGAGATAGACTCAGATAGATTTTTTGTAGCAATATAAACTTAAACCCACGTCCAATGAACTAGGATAAAATTGTCCCTTTCAAATTTCAAAAGAACATAGTTTTTTATCTTTCATTTGGCTCCATGCTACGGACGGGTATTACTCGTAATGACAAACGGGGATGTACTTCTCCCCGTTGCCGTGCTTTTTTTTTATAAGGGTCACCACAGATGATACACAAATACTAAAAACAAGAACCAAGCATTGTGAGAAACATGCAATGTGCTCACCCAGTTATAGGCAACCACAGCTAAGAGTGAGTGCTTTGGCATAAGGACAAGATAATTTTATCTCTTGTCAGTGGATATAATCAGGAGATATTTTTTGTCCCCAGCCCATGCTAGCTGTGATGGTCAGTGAATACTGTTGTCCATAGAAACCTACATTTTCGATTATAAACCAAAAGACAGATGTGTTATCACTTATCACCACTGAACTCAGATATAATGCCTCGTTAGCGATAAAATGTGTCTCAGGTTTACGCAACGCAGCCTTATGCTGCTATGTAACCTCATGTATCAACATTTTAAAAATTATTTTGGTCAAAGCATATTATAACCAGCCTGTCAAATGTACGCTAGTGAGAAAAGGACAGAGAATGTATGGTCTACAAATAATTTTTCTATGTATGTCACCTGTCCATGCGATACAGGAGAAAATCCTAGTGTAGAAGTAACGTTTTTTAAAAAGAGAGGAAGAGAGACAACTAATGAAATTAAAAATTTTGTACAACCGACTTCAACATTAATACGCATTATTAAGGATAACTCCAAAACTACTGGACAGATCTCGATGAAATTTATATGGGACTATCTGTTCCCCGCGGCTTCGTTCGCGTGTTAGGGTTTTTATTATTTTGCGCGGGACCCTAATTATTTTTCTAAAACAAAAGTTGCCTAAGTTACTCCTTATGACATCAGCTATATGCCAGTGAAAGTCCCGTCAAAATCGGTACAGCCGTTTCGGAGATTAGCCGGAACAAACAGACAGACAGACAGAGAAAAATTTTATTTATTTGTATGGATGCATAAATTATAAGTACCAGCTTTCAAATAAAAATAGAATCATCAAAATCAATTTACCTGGAAAAAGTTCTGAGGTAACACACATAAAAAATACAGTCGTATTGATTACCTCCTCCTATTTTTGGAGTCGGTTAAAATGGTAAGTAGGAAAAAGTAGTGTATTTTGCATTCAGTTACTAATAAATTAAACATATAAATTAAGTAATTAAGTTATATTTATATGTTTAAATAATTTGATTTATAAAATCCTTTAAAAATCCTTAACGTTATTTTTTTAGGTTTTCGTTATTTATTTTTAACTGCGTTATTTTTAGTTCAATTACTAATCTATATGTAAACTGAGTAAAACTCTGCCTGCACAATATTTACCACTGTTTGTTGACCATATCATAGCTTCACCAAATCAATGAAT